AAAGTGAGGCAACATGGTGTTGCAGAAAAGAAAATGAGACTGAGGTCAGAATGCTTATGTTCATGATCTTGCTCTGCCACCAACTGTCACCTCATCCAGGCGACACTGTGTTTTCTATTCTCTTCATCTGCAAATTGGAGATAACATTTTATAATGAAGTGGTTGCAGAATGGCATAAATGAGAAGATCTATGAAGATGTATACTCTCAAGTGTAAAAAGCTACACAAATGTTAAATTAATTCACTAGTTATAAGCAGAAAAAAAACCTTTATTTCTACCAAATTAAAAAGTAGGAATCAATCTTCAAGCAAGATAATCAAAATAGTCAATAACACAATTAACAGTTAGGAGAGCATGTACAGATTAGACTACAGGTCTAGATACTTTGAATTAAGCACATACACCCAAATCAAGAGGGCTGACAACTTTCGCACTGAGGAGAAGCAATGACTCATCGTAAACACACAACTTCTGGGAAACTGGAGCTGACACTTCACAGGACAGTAAACCGAAGTGACAAGTTGTCATTGGCTTAGAGAACAGATTTGAGCTTGAGAGGAGTCACAGTGAAATGCCATTGTAATGCAACAATTTCCCGAGATCTGTTCATCTCAAAAACAGGAATATATAAAAATCAGTAGTACAAATTCTCATAAAACTAGAAAAGCCCTCTAAGCCCTAACACCTTGAAGCTTACATAAACACTGAGGTTTTTTTCTCCCCTTTACTCTTCTCTAAATTAAATACAAAACAGTTTGTTTTTATTTAGTACATTTCTGACTTTACAGCCAAAGCTTCAGAACGAAGAAAGGTTTCATGAAATGCAATTAGACACACGCCAACTCCTAGGAGAATCTCAAGGTGCACTGCTCCTTGGCAAAGTTTTAAACAGGAAACCTTTATTTCCATAGAATGATGCTGTTTCCTGGAATAGTCTAATTATTACCAGGAAGGAATGCATACCCATCCCATCCAAGGGTTCTCATCCTTTTGGAGGTGTTTACTATCTCTCCCTCTCTACCTCTCCCTCCCCCACACACAGACCTACATAGACACACACACTGATCAAATTGGGGGGGGGGGATTCCCTGAAGCACACAGATAATGGCATTTATTTTGGCAAGACTTGTGCAATTTGTTAAAAGACAGGTGTGGCATGTATGAACAACTGTAATTATAGTGTGTCTCAACAGATGCAGGAAGCAGATTTTTCTTCATAGTTGAAATATGGCCTCATGGTTTCCCCACATCTGGGTCTTGCACACTTTTCATCTAGAAACCAGACTGGATCAGTTATAGGTGGAAAGGGATGATAACTTATGACCAGACCACACTCCTGTTTTAAAAAAAAGTCTCCATTGCTAGGTTCTTCTTTTGAGACACTAAGTAAGACAAGGGAGTTACTAAAAATGCAGGGGAATTGAAAAGAAAGCAATTCAGACTAAGAACATGACTTGGCCTTACGAATTGCGTCTTTGGCAAAATTCACCGCAGCAAGAAAAAATACTTTTAAGTAAAAGGTAATAAATGAAATTCATCAGGTAGATACGAACGTCTCCCGAGATCCTGCAACCCAGCAGAGTGCGGATGAGATGTATGCCCTCTGCATATACAGTGTGCAACTACCACCAGGACCCACTGAGTGCTCATTTCTTGCCTCAGCACCAGAGCGCCAAAAGCAAAGATTCCAGGTACAAATAACACTGTTTTACCCATTAATTAGAATGGGGAGCTCAAAGGAGAAAAAGGTACACAAAAGGCCGCTCTGAATTTCCTGATTCATCGCTATAGGTACATGAAAACACAAGTCTAAGTAAACAGGGTGACTTCAGTTTTTACACAAAGAGGCAGGATAACTGAAATATCTGTTTTGTAGGGTAATTGTTGAGAATTTAATTAGACAAATGCATATAACGTGCTTAGCATGAAGTACTAATCAACAATCACTACGAAGAATGCCTATGTCTTCACACATTTGGAAATTTGCAGTCTTTATGATTTATGCCAGACCTCCAGCAGAGGCTGATAAGCTGTTTATTCAGCTAAACAGCTAAAGTCAAACACTGAAATCAGTTGACAGTGAACTGTATTTTCTAAAAGTCCTATTTATGATCGTGCACAGGCATCCTTCCATCTACAACTATCGTGTCTCAACATTTTAAGTGGTGGGAGAAGCCACAGCAGTACCTCCTGCCAAGAATCCCCCTCACCCATGGCTCTTACCTTTTTCCTTCCCTACCAAAGAGAGGGGCACAGCCTGGGTAAGGCTGGAGCTCATACGAGCGTGGCCGCTGGCAGGTGGCAGGGAGGGCCCCTAGGGAAGGCAGGAAGCCAGTCTCCCCTGGTTATTGCCAGAATCGTGCACGCCAAGCAGAGCCAGCACAGCAGATGGCAGGCAAAGGTGTGAATTTGGCATTCAGCATCAGGTTGGTGGGTCATGTGACATAGGGAAGATGGTACAAAAATCAAGGGCTGCCCTGTGTTAGCAGCTCAGTCACCTCTGTTCCCCTGCCAGCACTTCAGGCAGTAACAGTTTATTATCAGGGCCTTACTTGGGGGTGCGAGTGAGGGGGTGATTTGTTCTGGTATCAGGGAAAGTGAGTAGCATCTGGAGAGCTCTCAGCAGCCCAGGTCTACAGAGAGCACGACAGCTGGGGGTGGCTCAACGGTAAAGGTCCCTTCCGGGGTACACCACCATGGACACCAAAAGGGTAGGTGAGAAACACGAACCTGACTCCTCCACAGATTAGCTTGGACCCAAGCCAAACCTATTTCAACAGCCGTTCATAAAAATGAGTAGTTATAAAAGATCAAGGGCTCAGACCTTCCTCTAGCAGCTCCCTTTGCTTCAGCAAATGGGAAAAAAAAAGGAACAGTCCCATACAGAGCTGAATGTCACTTTTGCTACTTTTGATATGAGGCCACTAGCAAAATGAAGCAGGCTCAGTACCCTGGGTTGGGTGGGATAGGGCACAGTAAACATCCAGGAGCCAACTCAGGCTTCAGAGTTGGGGAAACCTATGTGTGAGTCCTAGCTGCTCTAGTCATCGGCAGCAAGAGCCCAGGCAAGATGCTTCACATCTCTGACCCTTGCCTTCTTCATGCCTATCTCAAAGGATGCTTGAAAGATTAAATGTTTGCAAATGTCCTAAAACTGCACCTAGCACCAAAAAGGCCTTCAATAAATGGTACTTATTTTATGTCTGTCTTAGTGTTAAGAGGATATTAAACATGGCAATGTTTCCAAGTTCTAAAGTTAAGTGGGAAGCCTGTTCAGATCATGGAAAGCAAAATGAATTCACAACTGACTAGAATCACAGGATATGATGACAGGTAGGAATCTGAGAGACACCCAGACTACTTTCTTTGCGTAACTCTGAAGGAACCGTATGGTGGCAGTAGAAGGAAAACCAAGGAAAGATGTCCCCTTTGCTTTTGTCAAAATATTTGCAAGAGGATGTAATTTTTTACAAAATTATTGGAGGAATAACTAGAGAGCCTGTTGAAGAAAATGAGAAATAGACTTTTTAGGCCACTAAGCATGAAATAAGTATCATGTTTCAAAGACCATGGAAAAGGTGTTTGTCTTTTTTTGGTCTCACCAAGCACAGGACCCTCAATTGCTGTGCTGCCTCAGAAACAGCAAATGCCACTGACACACTGAGGGGCTCCAATGCTGACTAGAACTATCTATTTTTCTGGAAGAGAGGAGGGAAGAATGGAGGACTAGAGCATGGCATCAGGGACCAGCCATTTCCCATTTCCCACATCTCTCTCGAAAACTCCCAAGGGAGTCTGTTGAACAAAAAGGGAATAAAGGAAGAGCTGAGAAGATGTGTCTGCTTCTAGAAGGGCGCACTTTTCTTTCTTGAATTATCCACATAATAACCGTAACTCTCTACTTTTCCTAGTGTGTGGAAATGGTCTCCATGGCAGTACTAGTCTACATTGTGCAGTTTTCCTCATTGCAGACTTGTTTTCTCTATACCTGGTTCCCCCCGATACCTGAGCCTTACCCACACGTCTTTTCACCCCAATCCCACCAACTGGCATTCACACATGGATCTTCCAAAGCACTTAGAAGTCTGTATCATGCACTGATGTGTCACAGACCTGAACTGGGCATTTCCACTGCATAAACCTAAAAAGTAACACAGTGAGGTGATTTAGAGAATGAGGAGGAGACCAGTCTATGTTTCCACTAAGATAGTCAAAGAATACTCACATGAAGGAATAGAGGGAGAGGAACTGGCAAGAGTGGTGCAGTATTTGTAAGGAAGATGCAATCATTACCATACAGAACACATGTGCCAGGGAACGGACTAGAGATTTGCTGGGACATCTTCAGAAAATAAATAACATGTTGCAACACAAGTGGCGTGCTGAAATAGGCTTTTTTTTTTCTTCTCCAGTATGAAGAGCTAGACAGAAGTCACTTCCAGGAATAGCAAAGGACCTTCTTTAGGGACAACCATGATGCATGAAGAGGGGTATTTCTTTTTAAGGCAACAGGAATAAATTTCATTGCCCTTCCCAGAGAAGAGCAAAAATTACATTAGGTGGCCACCAAGTCTGGAAACCAGGCAAATCTTTAATAAATGGTTTATTGTACATTACAAAGAATGACAAAATTGTATTATCTATATTTCTAGACTTAATGGCCACCCCAGAGAATGCATCTTTGGAATAGAAAAAAAGTTTTAAGAATTTGTTTTCCCATAATCATAAAGCTGTCATACTCAGTCTGGGCACAGCTGGTACAACATTTTCCTCAACCCACAGGCTCCATTCCCTCTACCAACTATTTATAATATGCTTGGGTCACTCACAGGAGAAAAACACTGTCAGCATCAATCTTTAGCAGCATTTCAAAATACATTTTTTTTGTCTTGAATAAAAAGCTAAACTATATTTTGGTGCAGTAATTTCATATGGTCTTATGACTTCTATACACAAGATATGATCCTTTAACATTTATGTAGGTAAGTATCTCCCATTTTTTTGGAGACTCCCTAAGACTTTGAGGATTTTTTCACAATAAAAGAAAAGGGCAGTGTCAACCCATGAAGAGTCAGCCCAGCAGCGTAAGAAGACCCTCTGCAGAGCCCAGTTCCTGGTGCAGGAAGCGATTTGACAGCCTCCCCTTGCTTTCAGTTCTTAGAAAGGGATCTGAGAGAGATCAAAGCAGTAACTATTGTATTACTTCATAGCCTAGGGAGGGAGAAAACAGATGTAAAAAAAGTACAGTCTAATAAAAATAGTGGAAGCCAAATCCGTTCATTCCAGGATGTCTGCAAAGGAGAGATTCTATGCAGCATGGATGCAGAAAAGGTATCACTCCTAACAGAAAAAATAAATTGTGGACAGTCACTCACAGCGAGGGAAGCAACCACAAAGAGCAACTGGCTTCAATGGCATGGTCACCAGGAAGGGCACATACCAGAGAACTTGGGACAAGGCCTCCTGGTGCTCTGATTCAACAGCCTTCAGGGGACGAGGGGACCAGAGGCCAACACTGTCACACGTGAAAATGGTACTATGGCAACAACATGACGGTCAGCAATCAGCTAGAGTTTGGGTTAGATGCCGTTCGAAGTCCAGCCTGTACTTGTTTTCTTGGGAAGGGCTTGAGACATGCAGAGGCATCTTAGACAGGTGTAGGTGACCCTTCTTGTGAAAGGCAGAGAGGAGCCTCTTCAGGAATGCTTTCTACTCATTCGTTTTCATTTCAGTTCACCATTTAAACTAGAAAAGATGCTGCAAGCTATCCCCACTAGCTTCTAACTTGGACACGGCAGCAAAATACTACACATACAACTGAATGAACGACATTTTCCTGGTTCTTCCACTGGGCAGGCTCAGTATGCTTCTTTGGACTTAACAGGCGTGATCTTGTTCGAGAAAAGCGTGTAAACATAGGGCCAGATTTTGTTAGTCTCTGTCCCAGAAAATTGGTGAAGCACTCCTCGGCTCCTGAAAAACAAAATCCAACAAATGAAGGCATTTTAGGCTTCCTTTTAACATGCTATTAGGGCGAGGGAAGATCCTGGGTATAAAACAAGCACGATCTCGTGGTCTATCACACACACTGCTAAGTGCCGACACCCACACTGGGTGTACCTAAATAAGACTGGCATGCTTGTCACGATGCCACCTCTTCTTCTCCTGTTTAAAACATATCAAAGAGGGGCGCCTGGGTGGCTCAGTCAGTTAAGCGTCTGCCTTCAGCTCAGGTCATGATCCAGGAGTCCTGGGATCGAGCCCCGCACTCGGCTCCCTGCTCAACGAGGAGCCTGCTTCTCCCTCTCCCTCTGCTCTCCCCCGGTGCTTGTGCTCTCTCTCTCGCTCTCTCTCAAATAAATATATAAAATCTTTAAAAAGCTAAAAAATAAAAAAAAAACATATCAAATAACATTATATGGACAATCCCAAATCTATCTCAGTATACACTTTCAAAAAATAAATCATTGACAAACTTTGGTACCGTAAAACCCTTATTACTTACAACAGATCATGAAACACAGGATATATCATAATGACATGATCAGGAACTTCTAATCTAAAGGGCTGCTAAACTGGGTGCTAAAAGGTCAGAAATTGATTCCAGCAGTAGCTGTTAGACAGCTGTCCTGAATGCAGTCTGCAAATAGGTTTTGTTCAGTGTGCATGCTGTTAAGAATGTTATTTGTTGGGGCGCCTGGGTGGCTCAGTCGTTAAGCGTCCGCCCAGGATCCTGGGATCGAGCCCTGCATCAGGCTCCCTGCTCAGTGGGAAGCCTGCTTCTCCCTCTTCCACTCCCCCTGCTTGTGTTCCCTCTCTCGCTGTCAATTAAATAAATAAAATCTTAAAAAAAAAAAAAGAACGTTATTTGTTGCCAATATAAAAATTGGGATTTTTTCCCCCCCACTCACAGACAGCCAGATTTCTGCTTCTCTTGAAAAACAGGGATCACTGGCCACTCTGGGCCTGAGTGCCCCCGTGGAAATAACTGACTGGAGCAGCACAGAAGCTGTCACTCAACTGCCCAGATGAACACATCCCCCACCAGGTTTGACACTCATTTCCAACAGCTGCCTGGCTCCCGAAGCCATCTGTAGCTTATAGTTTTCACTCTTTTTGGTTAAATTCCCTCTAGACATATCTAGGTGAAAGGTCCCTTCTAATCTTCTATCCAAAGGAGATATTTACATGTGGGAGTGTCAAAATACAAACCATTATTTCAGCTCCTTATAAAAAGAAAGATGAAAATAACCCTAGACATACTTTTACAACCAGACAGAGAAGATCAGGTTTTGGTCCTTGTATTACAAGAATTTCAGCATAAAAGAACTGGACTCTATCTCCCATGTACAACCCCAGCATTTCACCTGACTCCCAGGGAGGTACTGGGCCTTTAGGGTTTGTCTAGCTTAAAGAAACACAATTCCACCTCAGCCTGATATCCTTCCCACTGGAAGCCACACGGTTCTAACTGACCATCTGCCATGAAAATGGTAAAGCACACTCACTTGTATAATTCAATGACTGGCTTTGCCACATCCTTGTACTGTCTTAGCCTGGCAGCCACGGCTTCGGGTTTATCATCCTCCTGCTGGACTAACGGTTCACCCGTGATGTCATCAAACCCCTACAAATACCAGAGAAACCAGTTAATATGGCTAACACCTGAGCCATTCCAAAGATTAGAAACTTTCCTGTGCAAAATCCGTGTATTCACCTTGGACTCCCACCGAATGATCAATTAGGCCTGAGTGACAATGGTAACAGTGAAAGTAATTGAAAAAGAAATAACACTCCTAACAGTCATGTTAGCCTTATTTCGTGAGAGCTGACATGGAATCTTTATTAAATTCTCAGATCTTTCCAAACACGTTTCAGTGCTATTGAGAAATGATACTTTCAATTTACAGTTTAAAACTCCATGCTGCCTCCCACAACAACAAACAACCTTTAGACAATGACACTCTGGTCCTCTATAAACATTCCTAAAACTGCCCTGCTTTCTAAAGTTTGAGTTGTTAATACGGAAAATAAAATGTCTAGGGGTGCCCAGGTGACTCAGTCGGTTAAGCATCCGACTCTTGATTTTGGCTCAGGTCACGATCTTAGGGTTGTGAGATGGAGCCCCGCATCGGGCCCCGTGCTCGGTGGGGAGTCTGCTTGAGATTCTCTCTCTCCCTCTGCTCCTCCCCCTGCTTGCATGTTTTCTCTCTTTCTCTAAAACAAATAAACAAAATCTTAAAAAAAAAAGAAAAGAAAAGAAAATGTCTCAAAGAACCAACTGGTTTACTTAGGAGAACACTGATCTAGGAGAAGGTATCTCGGTCCTGCCTTTGCTAGCTTTCAAATTCTTTCCTGAGATTTAATCTTACTCAGGTTATTTTCCTAGATCACATAATGACTTACTTAAAGGTAGATTAAAACAGGCATGGATTATATGCCTATGACAATCAGGAACAAACATTCTGAGAACTAAAAAATGGCAATTTAGAAAACCTGATTTTTGATGTATTTTAACCTCCTTGGAAAACATACCTACTTACAAATAGCAACATGGACATGAGGATCTTGCCTTCCATGTCCATGGCTATTACCTGCCAGGGGAGAGAGTCACAAGGAATAAATCTGTCAAAAGGCAGGCTAGAGCAGAACCGAGGCTCAGGCAACTCAACTGGATAATCAGAAACCAGCTATAAATTTGAAACACACTAAAATTCCGTTATAGCTCAGGGCCTTGGGTCCATAACCTGCACTTATGATTTATTGGTGAGCCCCATAATCATCATATGTGTATCCCATGGTTGTTAACCTGACACAACAGGTGAGATGGGGGTGGGAGACAGCTGTACATCACCTTTATTCTCTTCTCCTTTATTTTACTTAGAGCTGCAAAGCTCAGAAGTCATTTCCAGGACCTCAGAGCACCAGTAAATACAACTGCTTCTACAAAGAAGAGAGTGATGCTAGGGTGACAGCATTCCTCCTTCTGGGAGAGCTTGGCCACAGTGGCAGAGAGAGGTGGCCCAGACTAGCACCTTCCCTGCTGTCTTTGGAGGCAGCACTGTAACTGTGGGTGTTCGTTTAGGGTACCCAGTCTTTGGAAAGCAACTCAGTGTTAAAGGTTCTCCAACTTTATGAGAATCTTTGCATCAGCAGGCCTAGGCAAAGCTAAAATGTGAAGCATCCATGTTGGACATCAGGGCATATGCAGAATCCTCTTTTCCTCTCCAACCATTTTTTTCCCTTATATCAGTTTCTTGAGAGGGAAAGGAGGAAGGGATTCCAGAATTACATTTTAAAAAGAAGACTTTGGGGCGCATCAAGCATCGCCGAGTTTAACCGAGTCGGTTAACCGAGTCGGTTAAGGATCTGCCTTCGGCTCAGGTCATGATCCCAGGAGCCTGGGATCGAGCCCCGCATCAGGCTCCCTGCTCAGCCAGGAGCCTGCTTCTCCCTCTCCCCTGCTGCTCTGCCTGCTTGTGCTGTCAGATAAATAAATAAAATCTTTAAAAAAAATAAAAATAAAAAATAAATAAATAGGAGACTTCAAAAGGCAACTAGTACTTTGTCCAAATGAACAAGACTCACTGGAACTTTACCAAATCTATGGCACTCAGAAGCTGGGAAGGCATCCTTACCCTCTTGAAGTTGGTGTTCTGTGGTTGATTGTTGACTCCATCCATATTCAGATCTACCTATCCCATATACATCAATCCATTAAGATGCAACTGTCACCCCTTCCACGTTTGGATGATTACAAGTAATTCTATCTAACATCCAATAACTACAGGTAAGAATCACATTGAACTAATTCATGTCTTTACGAGAAAGAACAATAATGCTTTTGAATTTGTTAATTTAAAAAGGTTCTTTAAACATACACCTTTACATGTTTATTTCATGTGAACACACGTTATTTTTGGACCTGTTTATTCCTCCAGCCCTCCCTGTCCCTTCACACCCTCACTGCCATCACTCCCATGACCCCAGCCACTCTGACCCCAAGTCTTTATTCAGTCCCAGCCCTAACCATTTATCCCTGCTCTTATGAAGCTAGAGAGCATATTTACACACACAAACAGGTAACGTGTAAAGAAGGAGGGTCACTATTTTACAAAAATGGAATCATTGTGCTATTTGCTTTTGATATTCAACAATACCTAGAGGAAGTATTTCTTCAGGTCAAAGGCGATAGCACGAAGTCATTCTTTTTACTGAGTACGTAATATTGCACGATGTACATAATTTCTAATTCATTTAGTCATCCCCTGTAAATGAACATTCATTTGTTTTCAGATTTTGTTTTTCTCTAAAATCAACACTGAAATAAGCATCACTGTGTACACGACCTTACCTGCTAGTGCTTTCATTTCCATAACCTATACTCCCAGCGGTGGGTTGAATGAAATATATATACTTTAAAATGTTAATGTACATTGCTAGGTTGCTTTTTAAAAACACTATTAATACTTCATATGCCTAATAAAGATGAGTACTATTTTTTTCAGATCCCCACCAGCAACAGATGTTATAAACTTTAATTTGCATTCCCTGACCACTAGTGAATGAGAAATTTCAAATACTTTTGGCCGTGAAGATTTGCTCTTTTTTGAATAATCTATTCATATCCTTCCTACACTTTACAGCTGGAGTGTTTTGCCTCTTTCTTGTCAATCTGTAAAAATGCTTTGTATATTCTTACATGTACATGAGGTGGATTGAAGTCCAGGTTATATACCCTTCCACTAGGGGGGTGAATCCAACGTCGGCTGAGACGATCTTTGAGTGTTTCAAATGGAATGTTCAAAGTGATCACTAGATCCAGCTCACAGATTTTGTCCAGGGCTTCAGCCTGAACTAATGTCCTAGGAAAACCTAAATGCCAAAAACAAAACATATCAAATGCAAGACATTTCCCAATTCCAATGAGTCAATGAAATACTTTCAGTTGACAGAATAATCAAATCTATACATATACCACGCAGAAAGAAACTTCTATCAGGAATTTATGTCTACCTCCAAAAATTTTAAAATTAGAAGAAAATATGTCACTTTATAACCCAGCTTTAGCATTTGGGATACTCAAAGATTAAGGAGTCACATGACCCAAGTAGAGAGTGCACTAAACTAAAAATCACTAGACTAGTCCTCACTTTGCTCTTAACTACTCATGTTACCTAAGCAAGTTATATCACCTCCATTTCCTCTTCTGTTCCTCTAAAATTGTATTTGTGTTCTTTTATAGCTTGAACAGCTGATGAGTATATTATTCTTAGGCTACCCCCCAAATTATATTTTTACCTGTACGCTACATCTTACAAAACTCAACATGTGGTCTGCAATCTAGCAGAGCAACAACAGAAATGAGAAAACGCACTTAGGAATTTTATAGTAATTTCACAGTCATGTTAGCCTAGTGAACCTAAAATTTATGCTTGAATTTGTGTTTTTCTTTTAATTCTTCTTCTAGTAATTTGCTCTTAATTGTATTTGATAAAAGGGTTGCTCTGCAGTGGATTGGGGGGAAAAAAAGAAACGCAGCTTCCACTACAGAGTTTGTTCTAGGCTTCCCTTGGAGCTTATTTTCTAATTTCTCCAATAAGGGAAATTATCCGGTGGCCCCCAAAGTATCTAACTGATGTTGTTTATTACAGAAGGGATATAGATTAAGTTACATCTCTTCCCAAAATGACACAAGAATGGAGAAAACCCAAGCTGGGGCATGTTTCAATTCTATTGTTGTGACAGGGAAAGAAAAAGCAAGTTTAAACAGAGGTGAGGAAAAGCTGATCTTGCAGGGCAGATCTCAGATTCGTTGGCTATCATGTGCCGAACCCAAGGTACTCACATGTTCCCACTGGGCAAAAGGGTTACTCCAACATTGCAGGTAACACCATAAGAAATCTGTCATGAGCACGCTATGAAGGCACACGCACGAGCTATGTCCTTCCACAGTGTCAGCCTTATGCAATCACAGAGCAAAGTTAAATCACGATGATAAAGCAGGTTCAGGATTCCAAACTCATTGACAATTCACCATGTGATTAAACCTGGCTTCTGACACAGCACACAAAGGACAGAAGACAAGCCATACAACAAAGTAACAGAAGGGTGTAGGAAGTGAACGGACCACACACGAAGTCAGTCTGTGGGTTCCGTTGGGTCCGGGTCAGCTCTCAGCACGTATTGCTTCTTATGTTCAAGCAGGGAAGGAGCTTGGTTCTGTTCGGAGATCCACTGGGCAGAGCGCCTTCAGAAGCAGCTGCCTTTTCTAAGTGGTCAGACGTAAAGGGGTCAGGTCTGAAGAGTCTGACAGTGTGCTGCCCAAATCCTTCCCTTTTAAAGGGATTTAATCGGTTTTGGGTCTCTACAGACCTCCTCTGGTTCTACTCATAATCAGTTCTGTGGTGTCAGCTGACGCTGGTCTGGTGATAGCTCCTAGCTGCAGGACCTTAACTGCTTGTGTCACTGCTTGACACAGGCCCCTGCTTGACATGAGAGACTCCATTTTGTTCTCTACAAAACTGCTTTCACATTCTTATATGCGTTTCTCTTGTGACCCATCATGCATTTGATATGGTTTTGGAATACAGATGAGGGCCGGTGGGATGAGGTCCAGAGCCGACGACCAAGAAAGGATTCTTGAGATGTCTTTGGTGCAAAATGGTGGTTTATTAAAGCACTGGGAGACAGGGCCCGTGCGCAGAAAGAGCTGCTGCACCTGGATCTTGAGGAGTGGGGGATTATATACTCTCAGGAATTGGGGGAAAAAGGAAAAGGGAGGCTTCAAAAGAACTTTCATATGCTAAAGAGGACCCACCTACAAGATACCAGAGGCCTTGCCATTGTCAAGTTAAGGTTGTTTTCCCCTCTAGCAAAGTATTAACATGAAGACAGTTGGGAGATTCCTGTAAGAATGTCACACAGGTCCCACCCAGGAGTGGGGGGTAGGGAGGGGAGGTTGCAGGGTGTCAGCTTGTGCTTTGTCTTCAGCCAGCCCTCATCAAAGTGGGACTGGCTTCAACGAGAAAGAGGTATTTCTGATGTCGCAGCCCAGGTGCTGCCTCCTGTACCAAGTCACCCACCTGTATGGTCTCCTTCCTCCCATAGTGACTCTCTGGCTAAGCATCCTCTTCACAAAAAAGGCACCCACAGGTTGGGAAATTATGTGGGAAGTGTATTCATGGTGGTTTTCTTTGCAGTGGGAAGATGGGTGACTCCTTTCTACTCTTCTAACTTCTAATAAACTGAGCATATAGTACTTTCAGAATGGAAAAAAAAAATACTGCCCTTAAATAAAGAACTGCTGACTAGGTATTTTTCAAATCTCAACATAATTTGTTATATGAAGTTACGACTGCTTGACATTTAGGGAAGTGAGAGGTCAAGATTTATCTGCCTAAGATCAAGTGCACTATGGACACTTGGCCTTAGCACTGGGAGACAGCAATGCCTGGCACACAGTGGGCAAACGCTTACGTGTAATACTACAGTAGTTTATTCTAGTCTTCCATTCAGTGGCCATACTTATGTGACCAGCTGCCTTATTTTTCCGAATTTAATTCTATGAAATTATAGGACTCTGTCAAGCCCTGTAAACTCAGTATGTCATTTTTTCTTTCTACTATGGAATGGTTTGACTGCTTGCATATTAATTTATTAAGCAACTTCTTTTTTGATTAAGTTCAAAAACAATTTTAGAACTGGGGAGCACCTGGGTGTATCCTGGAGCTTCAAATACATGATAGCTACCAAGTAGGTAACAAAGTGATATTATCTGGGTCGCCAAGGAGCAAGATTTGGCCCCAGGTGGGACCTCACGACTCAATCCAATCTACTGCACATAGGCTGGGTGATGAGCAAGGAGTTTCAAATTCCTTATTGAATACTAGACACACCCTCAACCAGGTCCTTTTCTCCACCTCCCTCCGCACAAAAGCTCACTGTAGGTCAGACAGGGGATGCTGTGGAGAAGTTTGGTGGCAAGTCCGGGACCTATGCTAAATCTATTAGTCAACTTTGGCCTAACTTCCCCTACACTGTGCACCACAGTCTGCTTTAGAAGATGAACTTCCTGAAATGGGATTTAAGACACACCTTACTCCCTGTTATCCTCTGGTACTGTGCCTGGCACATTCTACACTGAAATTCCAGCAAAGTGAGGGCAGTGAGCCTTTTACAGAAAGGCACTCTCCTTCGCTGACTGCCAGGTCCTGCTTTTTCCCTGTATAACCTACTCTTCACGAAGGTTTCAAATTGACAACTGGAGTTAGATGCCTGCAGCCAAAACAACCCCAAGATCAATCTCTATGCTCTTCCCCCAAATCCCTTTATAAAGAAAAACCATTTTCTAAAGCAGTGGCTTCCAGGGACGCCTGGGTGGCTCAGTCAGTTAAGCGTCTGCCTTCGGCTCGGGTCATGATCCCGGGTCCTGGGATTGAGTCCTGCGTGGGGCTCCTTGCTCTTTTTAGCTTCTATTTTGGAGGGTACATTTTACAACGTATATATTAACAAAATCGATAATTCACACATATCCATTATTTTGAAGATGTAATCAACATTTTTACTGCTAAGTGTCCACAAAGAATTTAAGGGTTCACTCCTATAAAGACCCACGTTCCCAGCCTCAGGCCCTGGCCTTGGGTTCTAGCATCACTAGCCACTACCCTGACAAGTAAACACTGTTCTTTATCCTTTGGACAGAGGCTGGAAGATGAATAAAGCACTAGGAAAGAATAGGAAGCTCTGAACAAGAATATAACAGTTCCTCCAACACATAAAAGCTCAAATCTTATTGGCTGAAGTTTCCTAGTCTGACGGGTAGAAGCCTGTCTTGCCCGTCTGCTCAACAACCCCACAACTGTTTCTGAACTCTGGAGCCCTCTGGAGGAATGGGTGGAAAATGCAACTGTCTACAAAATAAGGTGAACTCAGAAGAACAGATTTCAAAACTGTTGGGTAGTGTCTACCTTTGGGGCTCTCACATTCAAACCTGCTAATGACCAGAGAATACTTAATTCTGGTGGCTTAGAGGTCGTCTGTTAAGACAGTGGTTCTCCTCATATCCTCCCAACCCCAAAACAGGCTAAAGTTGAAAGAACCAAGGAAAATACAGAAGCCTGCAATGAAAGCTAAAATGGAAGAGTTATGTTTTAAGATGTTTATGTTGCTGGAATGCAGCCATTTCAATGGTTTAGAAGAAGTACCAACAAGAGAAAGAAGTCATTCCTCAACTTCAAGGGTTCTCCATCTGATGGGGCACATCAACATGATCAGGGAAGACTTAAAGGGTGGGGGAAGAGAGAAGAGCTTATTAACTGCCCAGATTCCATACCATTCTTCCTAGAAGGGAACATCTAGGAGCAGGAGCAGGACTTAGGTATTTTTTAAAAAGTTATCCAGGTGACTGTGGCTGGTTAAGAACCACCGAACTTCTCAGTGACAACAACACTGCCAAGGGCAATATTAACTATGTGTATCTATCCCATCGGGGAAAGGTTTAACAACACTTGTAAGCAGGTCCAAACCACTCTGAAGAAGAGTCTTCTTTACCTCGGTTTCATGGCAAAAGAACTGGGAAGGAAATTCCCAAACAGAGGCCAATCTTTCCAGATTCACTAAGCCCCTATCTCAAGCCACCTGTTTAATGCCATTCCTGGCCAGGATCTTACCTCTACAGAAGGTGGTGTGGCAGGCGAGAAAGTATAGCAGGATAGTTAGAACTGTGGCCCAGTCAAAGATCCGGGTGCCAGCCGCGTTTTCACAAGTGAGGAGAAGCCGCGGTAAGCCAGGAACCTCAGGGCTCAGTGGAACATGTCAGTTATGGGCACGAGCTCTGGAACCAGACACAACTGGGTTTCAATCCCAGCTCTACC